TAGGGTCGAGTCAAGGACACCGAGCATACATATACACGCATGTATATACATTCAATGGGGCCTCGATTTGAGACTTTAGGTTTCCAGGATACTTTAACACAGCCGAGAAACACCGTCCACAACATGTTGGGCCACAGCTTCCAGCGCGTGCTGCTGCTGGCCCAGCTCATCATCTTGAACACCTGGCGTGCATGCATCGCATTCGTTGTATACTTGGCCTATATCATATATGATATATGATATCAATTTTGTCTGCAGAGGAGGGTACGGTCAGCTTTTCTGTTTCATGCTCGAGTACAGAATCATGTGAGCTCTTCATTGCCACTACACCGGGTCCTTGTCCACTTTTCGTTTAACTATTGTACAATACAGGCCTATACAAAGCAAATCTTAGCGAGTTTGGTGCCCCAGTATGCAAGAACCCAGTGTCCGACTGCATATTGACCAGCATCACCAATCGCATGCCGAAGAATGCTGAAAGCAGTGTGTTATTCCAGCAGAATGAAACATGGTTGAATCGGTTCAGACAGACTGGCACTGCTGATTCCGGCTGGCAGGTGCTTTAATTCTGTGCAGATCACGACTTAGCTTAGGGGCTTATAGGGTTCGGGGAGACTTGAAGGTTTTTTTGCGCATATTTCAATACAAAACCGCTGAATCCGTAAGAGGCCTTTAGATGCATGCGAGGATATTCGGCACAGTCAAATTGCACAGCTCCAGCCTATATGCAGGCATCATCTCGGAAACTGTGGGCGCGTGGATGCAGGAGCCGGCTTGATGCAAAAGTGCATATATATATATATATATATATATATCATGGAGATTTATGTTGGGAAGGCTATTGTAATTTTTTCCACTTAAGGTGCAGCTGTCTTTATATATTTTGCAGGGCCCTTCCAAATGCTACATTGTTTAAATAGTTCCGTGCTGATAATGTATATATATATATATATATGCACATGGCAACATGACTGCATATGTAGCTTAGGTAGCGGTCCTTACATGCTCACGCACCCGGGTCAAAAAAGCGACCCATCCTGCCACGGGTCAGGCCATTGCAGGCTGGATCTAGACAGCTCAGGTTCGGATCCTCAATCTAAAATGCACTATTCTCTATATATATATATATATATAACCATAGTATATGCAGGCATCCCCATATGATCCATCACTTCTTGGCTCTCTTCGGGGCCGGGGCTTCCTGAATTGCCCGCCGGCTCTGCTTAGACTTACCCTTCGCCTTCGCCTTAGGAGCATTCACTTCCACCTCTTGCTCTGGACGAGGCACCAGGGCAGGCATCAGGCTCCTGCGGAGGATAAGTTCAAGTGTTACAGGGCTATATAGGGGCTTGTATAGTTCCGGGGTTTATACATATAAGGGTTATAAGGTTACATAGTTCATTTAAAGATGGTTTGCACTAGACCAAGAGCATGTACTGTGGCAGTGCATGCAGACCTTTCGGGTTACAGAGTTTTTCTTTTCCAAGGGACAGAGCTTTGGGCTATAAGGGTCTTGGCGATAGTACAGGGTTCAGCTATATGCTCTGCAAATTCAGTGCTGGACGAGGCTCTGGGTTACAAGACTTGTGCTTTATATACAGGATGTATGTCAGGATTTGGGGTGTCAGAGTCAGGATGTCGGATTTGAGGTTTTGGCATTATGGGGTTTCGAGGGGGTTTGATAAGATCACAGGTTCATTATATACCCTAAACCCTGAAACACATAAACCCTCTACAAATTCCATGTATAATCCTCAACCCGAAACATTAAACCCTTGCTAGGTAGGAGGGAAAAAACCCTGAACTCCGAACCCCTGATAAGTTATATGGCTTCACCATGACTATATAAGGGCCACATTTACATATAAATATAGCTTGAGAACCGCGGATATAGTCATTTCAAGACGATATCTCTCTCATATATATATATATATATATCTCCAATCCATTGCAACCTTGAACCCCCAAACCCCCTCGAGCCCACAACCTCAGACCCTCAAGCCGCAACCCTGAACCCGAAACACTTAAGGCGGAACCCTATAACCCCTTGGTGACATTGGACTGTTGTGTGCATGCGTGGCACTTGGACATTGGATTGGCCCATGCGAACGACAGGCCAGTGGGCGAGGCGAGCAAGGCGCCGAGCGAGGAGGAAGACGACATGGCGGTGACGCATGAGCATCCTTCGCGAGTGGCAAAGTCGAACAGCTGCCACGTCCAGAAGAACATTTTCGAGCCACTGCAGATGCGTGCTTTGGGCCACAAGCTGTTGCTGGCACGTGGATTGAAGAAGCTGCTGCTCAGCCCATGCAGCCACAGAGAAATCAGCACTGGGTGATCGAGATTGAGACGCTCTTCGACGATCGGATCCGTTGATCCATGCAGGGTTTTGCACTGAACCCGTAGTATACACTATGCCCTGTATAAGTTGGATCTTGCACCATTGGGTATATAATATCAATATTCCCCCGATTTCGGTTGATAGGACAGGTGCATGATCTCCCCCACATGAAGACGAAACTGCTATATCCACATCTTAATCCCATAGGATTGCACGAATCACCATTCCAATGGCAGTAATGCCTTTGGAGGTTTCTATAGGGTTTAGGCTGTACGTGTTAGACTAAAGACACTAAACCCGACACTTTCAAGCCGACACCCTAAATGTGCTCTTGCAGCCTGTGGACGGACCCTCGCAGTTGGCTGTCTTTGGGTTGTTGATCTGGGTCTGGTTCAGATCCCTCCTCGGCCGTCGATTGATCCCTGCCCCCAAGCATAAGGCCAACACCACCAGTGAACCAGTTTGGCTGTCGGTTTTGTCAATTGCGGCGTCACTCGGCTCACAGCCTCCCCTGGTGTGGTCTGCCAGCCACCCCTATGCTCCCCAACGGTAAAAATCTTAAGTTTTAATATAATACAACCCTCTGCTGCAGGGGATGCAGTAACTTGGGCGAGCTGATGCTGACAACGTGGGAGCTGGACTGCTGCCTGAGCCTTATATATAGAGGTTTTAAACAAGTTTTGCTAAAGCTGGGCTTGTAAATAAGACCCATCCGACCCCAATTTAAGTGGTCACGTCGGGTTTGCAATGTATTATATAGTCGTTGTATTTGTATTCGTCGTTGTATTTCGAGGTTGTGATATAACTTCGGGTCGAAAAATGGCTTTGCACAAGCTTGGCTCATACTCCCAATGATGTCTGTTATGTGCTTTAATTGGGGATGTCGGGATTGTAATGACCATGATATGATATATATATATATATATATATATATATTTATAATAGACAATAATATATATATATATATATATATATATATATATATATATCAAATATATCCTCTATAATGTGGCACGATTAGACTCTATGCTGTTATCTGCACTTGAAACAATGGCTACAGCATCATTTCCCATGATCGATAGGATAGGGTTGAAAATATAGTAAGAATAGCGGTGATTGCTCCTTGCAAATGCAAAGCTTCAGATGGCAGCATGCAGACCAGCTGGAAACACGCATCACGATGGACTGGTGTGTGGTGGCCCGGAGTGCATGCACATGCAGGGCCTCAAGGGAGGCAGCAAGTGGCGGTGCGATTTGCGTACACGTCAAGAGCCGGAGCCAGCTGCACGGCAGCATGATCGTGGCATCAAAGATCAAGATCGAGAGCCCGACAACACATTCAGCAGCGAAGACGAAGTTCCGGACTCCAATGGTTGGGCAGATGTGAGCTGATCGTCGAACGACAGTTTTTCTCGATGTGGTGGTATAGCGCTTATAACTATATGTCTATTAATTGTTTCGAGAAAGAGAACACGCCCCACCCGACCCCTCCATGCCACTCTTGCAGTCCTCGCACGGGTCTCCATGTCCCACGAGGCAACCATCCTTAGATAGGGCATCGCGGAACAAAAAGAGAATGATCCCTCCATGTCACAGAACATCTGTCTATCTGGCTAGCTTGCTGAATCTTTCGGGTATACATGGCATCGAGCTCAAAGTTAACACCTCGATATCCCCTTTGCCCACATTAGGCCTCTTAATTGGACCACAAACGCTATTGTTTCTGAGGGTCGATGTCAGGATTTCAAGGATCTTTGTCGTATAGGGGCTGAGGGTTTCTGTATGGTATATTAATTGGCTTATAATTACTATATATATACCCGAAACCCCAAACCTCAAAACCTTAAACCCTGTCCCGATCCCTAAGCCCTGCTGGGAGCCGCAACCCCCAACCCTAAGCCCTAGCTTATATATATATATATATATATATATATATATAGGATCTTTGTCGTATAGGGGCTGAGGGTTTCTGTATGGTATATTAATTGGCTTATAATTACTATATATATACCCGAAACCCCAAACCTCAAAACCCTAAACCCTGTCCCGATCCCTAAGCCCTGCTGGGAGCCGCAACCCCCAACCCTAAGCCCTAGCTTATATATATATATATATGTTGAACCCTCAGATATATATAGGACTGGAAACCCGGAACCCAAAGGCCCTGAACACTGTCCCGAACCCTATAGCCTCGAGGCCCGAAGCTCTAACCTTAAGCCACGGAGATTGAAATCCGTAACACTCAACCTCTATATAAACCCTTTTGCGAAACCTGTTAGGCCTTATAGGGGCGGAATCCTCAACCCATACCAAGCTTATCCCAAACCCTTGAAAAGCCAATGCAGCCCTTTCACATGCAGGCCCTGGCTGCGACCCTGGATGCCATTATGGGACAACATGGTTCAGACGGCAGGATTCCTCTATGCTCGGTTTTGTATCTGTTTACTTTCGGGGTATACAGTCACAATCTATCGATCTGCATCGACTCAGCACAGCAAGGGTATGCATGCATGGGCGAAAGGTTCATATTGGGGATGTCAGATGGAGTTTTCGGGAATTCAGGTTGCAGCAATTTTGGACTGAGTAGCAGCCGCTGGCATTCGCTCAAGATGGCCTCAAATGCCAGCCGAATCCTTGGACTTTCGCACTATATATGACTTTATAGTCCAATTATATGCAGAACCCGATAAGTCTTGTAGAGGGTCAGGGTTATATACCTATATAGAACGGCAAGCTGTTTTAGGGGATTCCGCTTTTGCCTTTTGGATTTCAGGAGTATACTGGTTTTCGGTTTTATATCTGGGCTTCGGGATCCTATAGAGCAGGCTGCCTCCATTATTGGTATTTCGCATCCACTGAGACAATTGCAGCCATGGCTCTCCTCCCATCCGTCCACGACACCTGTCATGTGCAGATCCTCCAGCTTGCTGATCTTCTCTTCCACCGCATTGTACATCTGTGTGAGCTTCTCATCCATCCTGATTTGGGGCTCGGAACACTTATGTATTACACCGAGATCACAGCATATTAGGAATTCAGACAAGAATCCTATCCAGCGTGGTAGTCACCTTCTTTTTCGCCTGCTGCACCTTCTTCTGCTCTTCCAGATTGGTCTGGGTCTCTGTGATTGATTCCAAGCGACGGGAAAGGCAAGCCAAAATCTTTGGAAGATTTGTTCCGGGGCTTGCTGGGGTCTCAATGCTTGGAAAACCCATTTTTTTGAGCGCTTTGGCAGCCTCTTTCATGGTTTCCTCGTTCGTCACGTCGGCCCTCCGGGCTGGATCCGAGAGCTCACCTTAAGCAGCAATGTAGCCATGCAACAGCCATCTATTAAATCATGAATGCAAAGCTCAGTACATGCTGCTAGGATACTCGTTGTAGGAACAGCATTTTGGGGCTGCAGCATAACCGCATCCACATCCATCGTCATGCTCTCATCACCTGGCCCACCCCGAATGGCCAGCTCCTGTTCCTGCATGCAGGACGATGTAGCGCGCTCCCTGGGACAATGGTCGAGGCACATTTCTCATAAAATAATATTCATGGAATATCAGGGAATTCGGCGCACTTGGAGTCTCCTTACATTGTCCTATATTGTAAAGTCGGATATGAATGACATCATGCGAGATGCTTGTAGTGGCCCTGGATCTTCTTCTCCACAAAGTACGTAGGCGTGTTGACTTTGAACGTGTGCCACCTGCGAGGCAGCTCAAATACATATACATATACATATATATATATGTATACCTGTATACTACAATATAATATACATTATATATACATAATATATATATATATATATGCAGCAATTATATATATATATATATATATAATTATATTGCCACATGCGACAATCAAACCCTTCCCTCAATGTCCCGAGCATCAAGTCCAAATGTCCCCGTCCCACCCCACTATATAGACACATCACATGCACACACAATCATGCACAACACTCTCTCTTTCTTTATCCCTGTTCCTCGATCGTTCTATCCTGCCTCATATACTTCGCCGGGTCGCCCTTGCCACGCTGGACGATGCGGTTGATGTCTTCCCTTGGTGGCATATATATATATATATATATATTATATAGGTATATTGCAAGCTTCCCTTATGCAGTCATTGTAAGCCAAGCTTCGGGTCCATATTCCACGGCGATTCACCCATTTCGGCTTCGGATAGAAATTCGAATGGGATAGATACTTCTCGCTCGTTTTCTTGGGTGGTCTGCACACGGTAGCGACGAACAAACTGTTCCTGCAGGGGTCGATAGATGTATACAGTATATATGTATATTCTATATATATATATATATATATATATACACATCGAATTCCTATATGTAAGTTTGATTTGTACCTTGAGGATTTCGAGGTTGGGATTTCTTGTGGTATATTAGCCTTATGGTGTAGTGTATATATATATATATATATATATATGTAAATATAATACATATATATATACCGTAAACAAACAAATGTTAGATATTACATACAAGATTAATACATATACAGACATATATATATATATATATATATATATATATATTAACATACTTTAAGCTCATTTATTGTCGTGATACTTTATAATAAGCAATATAGTATAAAATTACTGCGAAAAGAATTCTTTCGCAGTCTGTCCGGGTCCCAGTCGACGGCGGCGAACATATCCACCACTTGGTTCCGTGTGTTCAAATTGTTCCACAAGGTGCGTATATGCTCAGACACTTTGTAAGTGCCATTGCTACTTACCGCCATGATCCTTCTCATGCGACGGTCTATTGCATCTTTGGTTGGCTGCTGTTGCGGAGGTGGCATGAGGCTTGGTGCTGGAGCTGCCGTGCCTGGTGCTGCATGCTGTGTCTGCGCAAGTACTAGAGCAGTTACTCCGCTGTTCGGGGTTGTTTGCACAGGTGGCACGTGGCATGCTGCCGGAGCTGGGTTCAATCCTGCCGTGCCCGGTGCTTCCTGCAGCGTCTGCGCGGTTGCTGCGCTGTTCGGGGCTGTTTGCCGAGGGTCGGGGACTGCTGCATCCTGCTGTGGCGGCACTGCGGGTGGGATGGGGACTGCTGCTGCCTCTTGCTGTTGCACTGCCGCGACTACAGGAACTGCCAGATCTGGGACGGGAGAGGCCACTGTCGTGGGAGGTGCTTTGTGGACTGGGCCAGGGGCCATTGGGGCTGCAACTGCATTTGCAGCCGGCTGCAGATGCGTGTCCGGCATTTGGGGCGGTGCTTTGACTGCAAGGCTCTTGAATGCAGTTACAGGATCCGTGGTCACACGTGAGGGTGCAATGATCTGGGGCACTGCAGCTCCACCCTGATCGCTGGCTCCTGCTGGTGCTTTTTGTATTGGGCACGACGTCTTAGCCGACATCTTAGCTTGGAGTGCTGAGCCTGCTGCTGTTGTTGCGGTCTTTGGGATTGCCGGCTCGGCTTGGCCTGCTGCTTCTGTTGTTGGCTTTGGGCTGCCTGCTGCTGTTGTCGTCGGCTGTGGGTTTGCCTGCTCGGCTTGGCCTGCTGCTGTTGTTGCCCTCTTTGGGATTGCGGGCTCTGCTTGGCCTGCTGCTTCTGTTGTTAGCTTTGGACTGCCTGCTGCTGTTGTTGTGGTCTTTGGCATTGCCGGCTCGGCTTGGCATGCTGCTTGTGTTGTTGTGGTCTTTGGGATTGCCGGCACGGCTTGGCCTGCTGCTTTTGTTGTTGGCTTTGGGTTTGCCGGCTTGGCTTGGCCTGCTGCTGTTGTTGTGGTCTTTGGGCTTGCCGGCTCGGCTTGGCCTGCTGCTTTTGTTGTTGGCTTTGGGCTTGCCGGCTCGGCTTGGCCTGCTGCTTTTGTTGCTGGCTCGGTGCTGCCTGGGGCTTTGGTCGTCGGCTTCGGGCTTGGCAGCTCGGCTTGGCATGCTTCCTTTGTTGTTGGCTTTGGGCTTGCCTGCTCGGCTTGGCCTGCTGCTTTTGTTGTTGGCTTTGGCCTACCTGCGGCTTTGGTCGTCGGCTTTGCGCTTGCCACCTCTTGGCCTGCTGCGGTGGTTCTTGGCTCTGGGTTGTGCGGCTTGGCTTGGTCTGCAGCTGAAGTTGTTGTCTCTGGGCCAGACAGCTTGCTCGCGAGTGCTGACTCTGTTGCTGGCACCGTTTCCTCTGTGTCGTCCATATCCACCTGGGCTGTGTATATACATTATGTTTTTAATGAATACATTAATTAATAGACTGTGTATGTTTTACGTATCTAATATTTTAAATATGTTGAATATATATATATATATATATATATATATATATATATATAATGTATTATATGTGCACATCTATGATCATGCGTATGTATGGTTTTTGAGGCTCGGGAGATTCGACTCGGCTTGTACTTTAAATCGATCATATAGACTCATGCAGCTCAGATCTCTGAGGGTTCATGGTTTAGGATGTACTAGGATTTGGGGTATAATGCTTATATTGAAAGTTTGCAATGGATATGGCTTGCCAGTGTGCCGTATATATATATATATATATATATATACATATACATACATATATGTATATGTATATATATATATATATATACGGCACACTGGCAAGCCATATCCATTGCAAACTTTCAATATAACATAGAATATACATATACACCCCAATTATCTCAATAAACCCAGGGTTACAGATCAAGCAGGCAGCATCTTCATCTTCTGACGAACAGAAGATGGCACTGCCGTTCATGCCATCCGCCATGATCTCAGAGAAGAGTTCCTGCAGTGGGCCGAACTATATGGTTTGGAATCGGAGCATGACAGCGATGCTTTCACAGGCTTTGCAGCACAGTCGTTCTTATCTGAATGTGTTATGACAGCACACATGGCCTGCACCTCTTGCTCCATCTCGACCTCTTGCTCGTCCTTCTCAGCCTTCACGACATTAACGGCATGCCCAGCCATTTCCATGGCTTCTTGAAGTGTCGATGAAGACCAGCCCCGCGTGTGCTGGCGGTCTGGTTGCATAAGGAAAACCAAGACCCAGCAAGCAAGAGCCTGAGAGGCTTTCAATCAACAATCCACAGGAACACGCCCTGAAGCAGAAGCCCCTGCACAGAAAGTATAGCATGATTAAATATATGTCCCCATTCACACTGAAATCTGAACTTGCCTGCACGGTGCGATCGAGCCGAATTGCTCACCGGTGCCAAGGTCAGCTGGGCTAAGAGGCAGCTGTGCTGGGTGCTCAGCGAGGATTTACAAAGGCTGCATTTTTGGAGGGTTGTAGAAGCAAGGGCATCTAAATATAGATTCCAGATTAAGACACATGCAGGATCGAGGTTGGTGCATAATGGTCATTGTATGACAAGTATATAAGAGAATATGTATAAGGGTTTAGGTTCCAGCCAAACATAGATCCAAAATAGAAACCCAAAGGCTTGGATATCTTGATTTAAACAAGATCTCGGTATTTAAGATACATATATATATATATATATATATATCGAAATATTATGCATTCTATAAATGTACACTCAATATTATATATATATATATATAGAGAGAGAGAGAGAGAGAGAGAGAGAGAGAGAGAGAGAGAGAGAGAGAGAGAGAGAGAGAGAGAGAGAGAGAGAGAGAGACAAGGCACACACAGATGATCTACATATTGCCTTCTAGTCTGTTATGCATGCAGTCTATTTCTGGGCTTGG